AATTAGTCTTCGAAACGATCAGGAAAAGATTCATGAATTTAGGATGTAATGACTGAAATTTATGAAATTCAAATATAACATTAAAAGTCATTTGTTTGAAACTTAAAATTCAGTTAAGATAAAATCTATATCTTCGTAGCAAAATCTCGTTTGATGAAGAGTCATATATGTTGATAATATAATGAATTTGACTGACAACTTTAAACAAAAAATAAAACTTACCAACCTCACCGAAAATTGAATAGAATAACAATAAGAAAATGAGTAATAAACACCAAAGAAAATGAATGCCTAAATAACGCCAAGTGAAATGGATGCAAAGTTGAGGCAAAAGTTGAACTTTATGTCCTTAAATCGAATTTGCCCCGCAACGGTACATATGAATGATGACAATCAACCCCTAAAATACAACGACAATCTTCTTATGTTAGTAACACTCCAAAACACAATAATTAACAAATCAAAATTAGGTTATTACAATCATTCAACTTTTGAATGAAATGGAAAAATTTGGTACAATCGTAAGGACATTCATTTTGAATAGTCCATCTTTTACATAGTCTTTGTCTATATGCATATTATTCTTGGTAAGTATAAACTTATCTGATACAAAGATTAATTTAAAGTTATTCTTACTTAACAAAGAACCTGACACTAAGTTCTTGCGAATATCCGACACATGAAGAACATTGTTAAGGCTAAGTTTCTTGCTCGATGTCATTTTCAAAATTACTTTGCTCTATCCTTCAACCTTTGAGGTTGAAGAGTTTTTCATGAACAACTTCTCACCATCGGTTGGAGTGGAGGATGTGAACATTCTTTTGTCGACTCAAATATGACGGGTAGCACCCATGTCCACCCACCATTCAATAGGATTTCCAATACTTTTGCATTCGGAAATAACGACTGACAAATTTATATCTGATATACCATTAGATATTGCATTAGATTCGGTTATATTCGCTTGGGCTTTCTTCTTAGGTTTGCGACAATCAACCGACTGATGTTCAGCCTTTCTACAATTATAGCAATTGCCCTTAAACTTCTTTGCATTCTTCTTGGATGGTTTGACGGAATGCTTTATTTTCTTGCTCTTGTTATCTGATTTCACCACATTAGCCTTAACTTGTGGTATATAACTCCCAACATGCTTGTCCAAATATCGGTTATCTTCTTAAATTCTCAACCGGACAATGAGTTCTTCAATATTCATCGCCTTGTGCTTATAATTGAGATAGTTCTTAAAGTTCTTCCACATTATGGAAGTTTCTCAATAATTACAGCCACTTGATATGATTCACTTCGAGACATATTCTTGATGTGAATGTCATCAAAAATAACTTGCAATTCTTATACTTGACTGATGACCGTCTTTAAATCTACTATTTTGTAGTCTAAGAGTTTTTGTACAATGAACTTCTTAGTTCCGACGTCTTCAGTCTTGTATTTCTTCTCTAAGAATTCCCATAGTTCCTTTATAGATTTCATGGAATTATACACATTACATAATGTGTTTTCCGACCCATTCAAAATTTATTTTTTGCATACGAAGTCGAAATGTTTCCAAGCATCCGATGCCATCAACGATGTCACATCATTTTTCCTTTCTTATACGACCAGAGCATCTTCTCTTAAGAGTTTTGCCAAATTTAGGGTTGTGAGATAGAACAACATTTTCTGCTGCCATCTTTTGAAATCAACCCCTCTAAACTTCTCTGATTTTTCTCCACATGGAACGGAATTTGTATGAATTGTGGGAGGGGCAACTGCAACTTGAAAAATCACAACGATAGGAGCCAAGTTAGGTACAATTCCTTCAGAAGTTCCCACGTTCAATGTATCATTCGAAAAAGTATCAGTATTTTTAACCGTATTCATTTCTACTTATACGAAACAGAAGATAAAACAACAAAATCAAAATTTGAGAAGAACTAGAAGAAATTAAACTGAAACGGAATGAGTTTAACCGAATAGAAATGAAAAATAAATTTATCGCTCAAATGGAAATTTGACTTAAGATTGTTGATAATGTAATGGATTTGAGTGATGACTTTAAATCAAACATCAAACTTACAGACCTTACCAAAAATTGAATAGAGTAACGGCAAGGAAATGTGCAATAAACACCAAAGAAAAAAAATGCCAAAATAACATCAAGTGAAATGGATGCAAAGTCAAGGCAATAGTTGAACTCTTTGTTTTTAAGTTGAATTTGCCCTGCAATGGTGCTAACGGATGATGGCAATCAACTCCCAATATATAACAACAATTTTTTTGTATTAGTAGCACTCCAAAACACATGAATCAACTAACAAAATTTAGGTTATTGTACTCTTTTTGAATGAAATGAAAAACAGCTTTTATGCAAAGGTTTGTTTAAGAAATATGAAATTTTATGTTATGATATGATTGCATATCATTAGGATGATTAAATGATGTTCCAAGGGTTTTGTTTATAGAGGAGGAAATGTTGTGAGCGAAGTGCAACGCCCCAAAACTCAAGGATCGCAGTTTTTGCTGTCATTAGTATGTCGTCCTTACGTCGCTCGAGCGTTAGAAACAAAGACTCTGTCGCTCGCCGTCGCTTGAGCGTTAGGCGAGCGATGGAGTTAGATAAATACCCAGCCAGTTTCCCTCTTTTCCTTCTAATTTTGGACCGTAATTACTCGTTCACGGGAATTGGTTTGGAGATTCCAAATATACCCCGACGAGTAGAACAAGTTAATTTATTTATTTTCATAATTTGACTATTGGATCAAGTCTGAATATTTGATCAAAGTTGACACGAAAGTCACTTTTCCATATTTATACTTAAACCAATTCCAACAATATATCAACAAGAAAGTCATCCTTCGTTTTATCACTAAGACCTGTCTTCATATATTTCATTGCTGAAAATGTTCTCTAGCTAGTCTCAATAGAAACATGTAAAGTCAATACGGGATTAACAACCTAGTTACCATAATATAAGTCTTCAACATTGTACTCTCAGTCATTGGTCGACCTAACTCAATAAGTGTAGATACTTGAAACCGATGTTCACCTCGTATTCTAAAGGCCGAACGTCTTGCTTTGAAAAATCTTCATAATATAATTTCTCTGTAGGTTTACCACCATCACAACTGTTAAATAATTCACACCCCAATCTCTAGGATCCAAAATTGCACGGAGAGGGATAAGTTCTATTGATGCTTAGAGAGAGAAGTTCTGCTAATCTATTATTAAACATTGTATTTAATTCCTGATTATGAGTTCTCTCCAAAATTGTTTCTAATTATGGTTTCTCTCCCAAAATTTCTTTGATAGAATAAAAAACTCATTTGTCCATTGTATTTCTAAATTATAAACAAATTAGGGCTTGTTTGAGCCCCATTTTTTTTAAATGTATTTTTAAAAAGTATTTTTGGAGAATGTGTGGTTAAAAAATTTAAAAAAATTTGATTTACGTGTAATATTATTTTATTGAAAAATGTGTCGTTGAAAATGAGTTTTGAGAAAATTGACTTTTGATAATATGGGGATCAAACAATATATAAATAATATCACAAAAATACAATTAAATATTTGACCCTCATTCTAAAGCACGTTAATAATATTTTTGGACGAAAATCATGATTAATGACCAAATTTCCAGATCAATGATACGTTAAAAATAAGAACGTTACGAAGAAAAATGTTAACAATGTAAACGTGATAATGAATAAAGGTTAACGACCTTTAATGTAATTAAAATGTGGTGTATTTATAAAAAAAATATGATGTGAATATAATCACCC